TCATTAGGAGTGCTTCTTATGCTGGGGTGGCCTATTGACTAACTTCAGTCCCTTCCACTGCAGGCCCAGAGTCAAATATAAAAAGACAGCATGGCTGGAATAATCAGAAAGAGTATTTGCATGAAATCAAGGGTCTGTGATGATCTTTGAAGATTAGAAGAAAAATGAGGCTTGTTCAGAAAACAAGCAGCTGAATTATTGACTCCATTCAGCCCTGTTTGGAAGCACCTGAGGGGCTGAGGGGCTGTATGTATACTGGGAAGGGCAGAGGCAAACCGAGCCTCCCTGCTTACAGTCTCATAGCATTCTTTTATCTTACTGGGCTTGCTTTCAGACTGGGACCTCCAAAAGGACAGAAACACATTTGATCTGGGCACCTGTGAATCCTCATCACCTGGTATGGTGCCTGGCACATAGTCAATTCAATAAATACATGAATCAAAATAATAACTGCTATTTATTGGACTTCATATTTCGCATAGGTTGCCCATTTAATCTTCATATCAACTGAACAATAGAAGCATCATGATGCCAATTTCCTAGTTGGGTAAACAGACTCAAACAGGCTTTGTCCCATGCCCAAGCTCATACAGCCACTATAAGGCATTGCTGAGATTTGAACCCAGGCATGCACCCTGGATCTTCTCACTCCTCCAGCTCTGTGTCATCTCCTGTGATTGACACAGTTGAAGGAATCTGTGGCAAACTCTAGCTAGCTAGGGTGGATGGAAAGAGGATGTAGAGCCAGTAGTTGCCATTGCTATCAGTAAAGAACCTCAAATCTAGTCTTAAGACCAGCTAGTTCACAGTGGGGCTTTCTGTGAGACAAGTAGCTTTATGGCAAATAGAAACCAGCCTAATTCCAAGGTATTTTCTTTCTGAAAGCCAGCCCCATTTCTCCCAAATGACTGGCTTTCTACCCCATCCCCTGGGTTCCAGAGCTCATGAAAATTGTGGATGATGATTAATATATAACTCAGAGAGCCTCATAACCTCATAGGGCATTAGGGCCAGCTCCAATACCTGAGCCCTTAGGATAAGTGATTTACTATTGACTCATTCCAATGCCAGCCTTCTCTCTGAGAATATATTACTATGTGTGCCCAAGGTCAAAGCAACACAAGTCTTTTCCCACCCAGGGTGGTGAGGTGAAGTTTCATTCATTTCCTACCACATGTTAAGTTGGAAGATGACACTAGCATGGCATCTTAAGTTCATTGTAGAGCTCTAATCACCATAAAAAGCATCAAGTTTTCACTGAAGATTTTTTCCTTTTTTCCTACCAGGATGTCTGTCATTTTCATATTGATTTATCAGCTCTTTGTGTAAGGATATCATCCATTGTTTGTCTTACGTTTGCAAATACCAATTCTTTTCTCAGTCTTTTGCCTTATGTTTTTACTTATTATGTTTTTCATGTGTACAAGTAAAGTTTTGTGTGGTCAAATCTCTCAAACTTTGTAGTTTCTGAAACTTCCCCCAGCCCAAAATTATGTAATAAATTCTCACCAATACTTTATTCTAGTGTTTTTACGATGTAATTTTTTTTTTTACATTTAACTCTTCCATTCCATTCAGAAGTCATTTAGTTATATGGTTTGAACTATGGATAAAATATTGTATTGCTTACAGTTTAGCCCAGATAATTGGACATAACTCAGCCCATAAGCTGCCCTCTAACAACAACAACAATAAAAAAAAAAAAGCAACATAATTAATCCATTCACTTACTCCACTTATCTTCATGACAAGAACATGAATGTACAAATGAAAGACCCAAGAGCCTCAAATGGTGAACCTAGCCATACTGGGTGAGTCAAGCCAATAGGCCCACCTTTCTTTAAAGGAAGATTTTATTACCTCATTAATTTTGCTCCATGAAAAGAGAAAGCAAGGGCCATAGATGTTCTCCCTTAACGGCTTAGAAGAGATCATTAGAAATGCATAGTTTAGGGTCAGGCACGGTGGCTCACGCCTGCAATCCCAGCACCTTGGGAGGCTGAGGCGGGCAGATCACGAGGTCAGGAGTTCAAGAACAGCCTGGTCAACATGGTGAAACCCCGTATCTACTAAAAATACAAAAATTAGCTGGGCGTGGTGGCGTGCACCTGTAATCCCAGCTACTCTGAAGGTTGAGGCAGGAGAATCGCTTAAACCCAGGAGGTGGAGCTCGCAGTGAGCTGAGATTGCACCACTGCACTCCAGTCTGGGTGACAAGAGTGAAACTCTGTCTCAGAAAAAAGAAAAGAAAAGAAATGCATAGTTTGTCTAAGACCCCATCCTGCCCAGACAGATGCAGCTGGTTGTTGCTCTGGAGGCATGGCTTCCACTCTGGCAGTCTCAGTGAGTTTGGGCGTCTTGTAGAGCCTCCTGGAGAAATGGCCAAATCCAAGTCCAGGAGTTACTCCTTCAACTACAGAATAGAAATAAAACAGATGTGCGGTACTGAAGATTGTCTGGAAGACAGACAACAAATTGAACAGATCAGCATTACAGGCCAGGTTAATTGTCCTGAGCTGTGGGGGTCAGGTAAAGGAGGGACAAAGGCAAAGCCTCGAGATTTGTAAATATTACCTTGCTGGAACACACACTGCTTAATAAGCCAGGCCTGTTTATTCAGATTATTGACACAGAATACCTAAGACAAGGCACCAAGGATAAATCAGGGCTCAGTGGCAAAATTTATGGCAAGATGCAAATGAGAAAAAAATGGAAGCTGAATGTAGGCCCACTTTCCCTAGTAGAAATTCAGAGGGTTTTCCCTGGATGTGTTCTGTAATTGCTCACTTCATTTGTGTCAGCCAAAGGTTTCTGGGTTGTTCCAAGGTAAGAAAGGGAAGATGAATTTGGGTAAAACCTCTCTCTGTGGCAAGTATGATCCATTCCTTGGTTGGTCCATGGCAAGTGTATAATCCAAGATCAGCCCTTATCTGCCCAGCCTCCCCCTCAGACACTGTGTTCTCCAGTTTTCACCTGATCCTGCCAGGAAGGGAGCAACTCTAAGAGAGATCACAACCTACTGTCACCTTCCAGTTTGGAATTTAGGGTTCATCTGGTGGTTTTGGAATCTGTCTGCCACTGTTCCCTTCCACGAGTGTGATAACTGAAAGATTGCTTCATAATGGGACACAGTACTGCAGTGAATCACAACACAGGATGGATGACATCTTTTTCACACAAAATACTGCATCTCACATGAGGAAAACTGTTCTCCCCCTTTCCAGAATAGCACCAGGAGCTGGAGCTCTGCAATAAGGGCTTAATACCCTGTTGTTGCTTCTAAACCCCCAACTAAATTATTTCTCACTAATGCTAAAATGAATTCAATGTTTCAAACTCACAGTTTTAAAAGAAACCAAAAACAAACACTGACAATACAATCCCACTTCAAATATCAGTTTTTCAGACTCTGAAGGGTGTGCATAGGGAATGAGCCAAACAACTGGGTAGACACACACACATGCACACACACACACACATACACACACCCCACACACAATCACACTCAGGAGAGCTGTAAATTCATGCGAGTCAAGAGTTGGATTTTTAGCCCAAGTGACGAGTACCAGTATTTTTGTACATCTTGTCAAATAAATACCAATCCTTGAGAAATGCTGATATTTTTAAAGATCTAGCTAATCCTGGCCATTTGTGGGTGAGTGTTGAAAACCTGAAATGTTAAAGAGGGGGAAAAAAAAGTGCTTTCTCATAGTGGTACCAAAAATCTGGATGAAAACTAAAAGAACTACGCTTAACCATTCAGAAGTTACCAGATACACTTGCATGGTCTAAACCTCCCAACCAAAATCCAGCTTTCTTATTCGATCCCAGGTCATCAACCTGATACAGGGTCATGGCCATAGAGTATGGACTATGAAATGCACTTGGGTCTTATTCATAATACTGCTGTATGTCAGTTACTTCGTAGTCTCAAAAAGGGCCAAAGAGCAGTGTCCTTAAAGCCGAGTCTAACCTGAACTGCCCTCAAGACACGTGCAGCATCTAACCTAAGTGAGCTGTAAGGTGAGGTTTGGGCAGTCACCTGGTGATTTTGAACCATGTGGGCACACCAGAATCTCCACTCTCATTCTTGATAATTCAGCCCCAGTTTAGAAAACTTGATACATGTGGGTAGCCTCAGCTCTGTGTCATGGAGGTCATATGAGAGCCCACCCAGAGCTGGTCATGAGGCTTAAGTGAGCTGCTCTGTGTTGAGTGCCTAGAAGTGTCAAACTCCAGGGACGCCATTCTGCTGTGTGGACACTGCCCACTTTCCAGGTATCTGCCATCACTCCCCTTCACGTGGGCTGTGGAGTCTGAGAAGAAATGGTTAGGGCTTAATGGAAGGAAGAGTGTACTTTCTGGAGCTCATAATGCACAAGAACAAACATTTACCCAGGTGTTTAATTTTAAATGTTTAAGTTAATTACAGTAAGAGAAAAGTGATACCACAACCAGGAGTCCTGATAAATGGATTGAATAAAAAATAGCCTGCCATTTTTAATATTCTTTCAAAGTCTTCTTAGAAATAGGAATGTCACATTATCTCAGAATGCAGGCACCACCAACCAGCCCAGCCCCACTCCAGGATAACTGGGCACTCCAAGGTAAAGCCTGACCAATGGCAACTTTCATTTTAAAAGTTCAAGCTGGCCAGATGCAATGGCTTACATCTGTCATCCCAGCACTTTGGGAGGCTAAGGTGAGATGATACCTTGAGCCCAGGAGTTTAAGACCAGCCTGGGCAACATAGTGGGATCCCATCTCTACAAAAAATAAAACAATTAGCCAGGTGTGGTGGTGCACAGCTGTAGTCTCGGCTACACAGGAGGCTGAGGCAGGAGGACGCTTGAGTCCAGGAGGTCAGGGCTGGATTGAGCCATGATTGAGTCACTGCACTCCAGCCTGGGCGACAGAGTGAGACCCTGTCTCAAAATAAATGAATAAATAAAATTTAAGCTGATGCAAACTACATGAAAGGACTGTCTGTTTCTTTGCAGGGTTGAAGAAAGTTTTAAAACTTTATTTTGGTCCATATTCGGCTTATCTGAAGTAATCTCAGTGGTGCTGAAATACGACCACAAATTCATCGAGAACATCGGCTACGTTCTCTACGGCGTTTATAACGTCACCATGGTGGTAGTGTTGCTCAACATGCTAATAGCCATGATCAACAACTCCTATCAGGAAATTGAGGTAAGGCCAGGTCACCGAAAATGCTCGCTCTCCCTCATCTATTTACATTGCTGTTTTCAGCAATGAGGGGAATGATGTTAGAAGGCCATGGTTGTTAAATGTGTAGCCAGAACACCAAATAACAGGCATTCTTCCTGGATTGCTTCTAGAAATACTTCTGGTCAGTCTGTCCCATGGCCTTGCTGCTACCACCATGAGGCCCAGCGAGAGCAGAAAGAACTGGGGTCATGAGTCTTCCCTCTTTTAAACTTGTCTTCTCAGGATGTCGTGCAGATGACCCAGAGCAATCAATCAGAATGACTGTCTTTCAGCCCCCAGGCCCCTTTTGCCTCTCACATATTATTTATTAAGTACCTACTGTAAGCCAAATCCACACTAGGCACTGGTGATACCAAGATGACTAAGACACAGTTCCTGCCTAGAGAAACTCATAGTCCAGCGAGGAGATCATACAGGGTGATCAACAAATTCCAATGCCCTGGGGCCAGTGCAGTCAGGTTGTAGGGGGTGGTGTGGGGACAGAGACAGAGATTGACTATGGGGGAAGCTTCCAGAGGTGATGTTGGAAGACCATTTAAAATGAGAACAATTTTGCCTGACAGATAACGGGGTTGAGAGAATGTATCAGGAGGCAATTTATGAAAATCTAAAAGGCATGAACCATAAGCTATTGATTGCAGCTTTGTTTAGAATAGCAAGAAATTAAAAACAAACTAAATGAACATTAATAGGAATCTAATTAAATAGACTATGATGCATCTGAAAAATGGGATGCTGTGCAATTCTATTTTAAGAAGGATAAATATGTTCTTTAGATGCTGATGGGGAAAGACCTTCAAGTTACAGTGGTAGGAGATAAAAATCAAGTTCCAGAACAATGTATATAGTGGGCTTTCTCTTGTGTAAGAGAGAAAGAAAAGGGAATGTGATTCATTTGTGATTGTATAAGCATATGGAAAGAACAAACCTCTGAAAGGTCCACAAGAAGGACACCACGGCGTGCCTGTTGAGAGGTGGGAGTGGGAGGCATGGTGGGTGGAATTCCTTCTCTTTATACTTTTTGTCCTTTATAAATCATGTTGTTGTTTTACCTACTATAAGATTAAATAAATGAGCTAAAGTTAAAACAAAATAAAAAGCACTGACCTATTGACACAACAATTCCAATTCTGGGAATAGATCCAATATGATTTTACACAGATGTTCATTAAAGGAAAAACCTGGAAATAGTCCATTGATAGGAGAATGTTTAAATAAACTGTGATGTAGTCACACTTTAGAATAAGGTGTAGGATACTGTACATCGACCATGAGAAAGACCGTTTTGTACTGACATGGGAAAATCCCTAATACATTATTAAGTGAAAAAATGCAAGTTTTAGAAAAATACATATAAGGGAATCTAATCTGCATAACACTACAAATGTAAACATATAGAAAGGAACTCCAAGGAGGCGACAGTGCTCTTGACCAGGCCTCCTCTGGGGGAGGGAATGAAAGGAGAGAGAAGATCTGAAATGGGACTTTCACATTTCCTGGGGCACCTCTGTCCTTAAAGTATAAGAAACAATGTTTATGTACTTCTTATACAGAAAAAAGTAAAGGTCCCTGTGTATTAACTTGCTAGGACTTTCCTAAAACATACCACAGACTGTGTGGCTTAAACATTAGGAGTTTCTTCCCTCACAGTTCTAGAGGTCACAAGTCCAAGATCAACATCAGCAGGGTTGGCTCCTTCTGAGCCTCTCTGCTCAGCTTGCAGATGTCCACCTTCTTGCCGTGTCCTCACACACCCTTGCCACCAGTCCAAAAAGATCGGGGCCCCACCCTCGTCACCTCATTTAACCTCAGTCACCCTTTAAAGGCTCCATCTCCAAATATAGTCACCTTCTAACTTAATGGGGGTTAGGGCTTCTACATAGGAATTTTAGGGGGCACAATTTAGTCTATGTTACCCTCCCCGAAAAAGAGTACTCTATACAGTAGGGAGCACATGAACCAAGGCAGGGAGGGGTGAAGCAGTGTGGTATGCTCAGCGCTGCAAGAGCGTAGATTGAGCGAGGAAAAAAGGCAAGAGGTGAGAGGAAGAGGTGAGCCTGGCCATGAAGCCTCAGCTGTTGCCCTCCAGAAAAATACAGCACATCGTGGATGGACAAACAACACATATATTTTTAAACCATTTTACATACTTAGTCACCAGTGTGGATAATGAGCTCTTGTCCACTAGTCCTTCCTGCCCTTCTGGGCCTCAGTTTCCCCCTGTGTAAGAGAAAACCAGATGGTGCCTGGAAAAACTGCAGGTCTCTGCGCCACTCTCCCCGGCAGTCTGCCATATCCTAACAGGCATGTAATGCTTTGGCTGAAATGACAGTAGCATGGGAAACCTCGCGGTTGGCTGTGAGGGATGCCCACTAGCTGAGGGCAGGAGTAGGCAAGCCCACGGCATGTGATGTCAAGTTATCCCACCACGGAAAGGGGCCCCGACATGCAGAGAGTGTATTACAGCCCCACACCTCCCCTCTGGGCTCTGGACTTCTGGGGCAGGTGAGGGCACATGTTCTCACCTCTCTTACTGGACCATGGAAGGTACCACTGGAAAATGCCAGGTGTTCATGATCACATGTAGTTTTCATGATGCAAATATTTGTAAACCCTTCCATGAGAACACTAATTTATTGGCTCAGTAGATCTTAAGCCCCTGCTGTCCAAATCCACAACTCACCTGCGCCTGCCCCTCCATTCAACTCCCCCCACCCCAGCCCCCTGCCTCTGCAGGCAGCACAGCCTTCTCCAGCAGAGAGCTCTGCCCTGCTCCATTCTGCTCAACCCGCCTCCCCAGCCGCTGCCACTGCATGGCACCCTGCCTGCCTGTGTCTTCACCCCTCTCTTGCTACCTAATCCTTCCTGTCAGCATTTAAATAAGTCTCTTGATCTTTAAAAAAAAAAAAAAAAAAAGAACTATAAAAAATCCTCCCATCCTCCCTCTATCTTACTTTCCAGCTCCCAACCTCTTTCTCCCTTGTTCCTTACTGCCAGCATCCTCAAGTTATTTACACTTCTCACTGCCTCTTCCACGAGTTAATTCTTACAAATTCTCTACCCCCCACCCCACCCACCCTTGACCTGGTTGAGAACTGCTCACTCCTCGGATCTGAACCCAAACACCAGCCAGTTTTCCCTGACCCCCAGACTGGGTCAGTGGCCTCAGTACCTAGACCTTCCTCCAGCTCTGGGTACAACAATAGGTAAAAGACTAACTTACTAGCTGTTGAACAGCTGATTATAACCCTGTACTCTTGTGGGCCTCTCCTGAGCCCTTGCTGGGCTCACATCATTGGCCAGACTGTGTGTTCCACCACCGCATGGATTGTCATGCCCAGGGCCTCCCTAGCACATACCAGGTGCATAGCAGGTGCTTCATCAATGCTAAGGGACTGAAGGTTGACTGCTAGGCCTATGCTAGGCTATGGAGATGAAAATCACATTTGTTGAGGGCTTACTAAGTGTCTGGCACTGTTCAATGTCATCTACGCATTAACTCCTTTAATCCTCTCAGCCTATTCGATAGGTATTGCTATGCTTATGTTACAGATGAGGAAACTAAGGCCCAGAGTGATCAGTCACCTGCCATGGTTGCATAGATAGTAAGGAGCAGAGCCAGGATTTAAACCCACACAGGCTACAGAACCCATGCACTTTGCACCATACCACACTTCCTCTCAGGATGGGTGTCCCTGTTACAACTGTCCTGTACAGCGAGACCAGGAGTGAGCCCTGTCCTCACAAAGCTTCCAACCTAAAAGATCCTTGTAGGCTGTCCCCAAGTGAACCAGGCCCAGTGTCGATCCTCAACAAAAGCAAAGTGGTCAAACCTGCTGGTTATAACCCTGTACTCTTGTGGTATATCCCAGCAGCCTCTCCTGGGCCCTTGCTGGGTTCACAGCCCCTCAGAGTGTAGTCGCTGTCTGTGGAAAGAGGAACCCACTGCCCAGGGAGCACACACGCACTACTGACCTCAGGGCTATGTGAGGGAAGCAGTTTTATCTCCATAAGCTCAAGACACCCAGCTAAAGTTACATAGCTAATAAGGGATTTTGAGCCCAGGTCCATCTGTTTACAAACCCCACACCTCTTTTCTGGTCTCAAACTGCCCTCCTAGGACAGAGGTTCGAGGAACCTGTCTAGACAAAATACACCTGCTCCTCTCAGGGGCCCACTCAGCATTCTGGCATTGACACAAGGTCTGAAGGAACAGAACCTGGGTTTAAGTCTAACCCCACTGCCCCAGAAGAGAACACAGCTGGATCCCCTCCTACAAACTACACTCAGGCTTTGCTCCCCTTGAATTACATATGTAAGATCTATAAACATCCTCCCTGCCAGCACTCTGACCAATAAGAAATATACTGTGCTGTCCAATGTGGTAGCCACTAACCACATATGCCTATCAAGCACTTAAAATGTGGCTGGTCCAGCCGGGCGCGGTGGCTTACGCCTGTAATCCCAGCACTTTGGGAGGCCGAGGCAGCCAGATCACGAGATCAGGAGATCGAGACCATCCTGGCTAACACGGTGAAACCCCATCCGTAATAAAAACACAAAAAATTAGCCAGGTGTGGTGGCGGGTGCCTTTAGTCCCAGTTATTTAGGAGACTGAGGCAGGAAATGGTGTGAATCCAGGAGGCGGAGCTGGCAGTGAGCTGAGGTCGCGCCGCTGCACTCTAGCCTGAGCGACAGAATGAGACTCCATCTCAAAAAAAAAAAAATGTGGCTGGTCCAAATAGATGTGCTGTAAGGATAAAATTCACACTGGAGTTTGAAGACTTAGTATGAAAACAGTAAGGTAAGCTATCTTAATATTGTTTTATAATGCTTACATGTTGAAATGATATTTTTGATCTACTGCATAAAATATATTACTAAAACTAATTTCACCTGTTCGATTTTACTTTTTAGAATGGGGCTAGTAGAAAATTGAAACTTACCTATGTGGCTCATCTTTTTGGCTCACAATATATTTCTAGTGAGCAGCACTTCTTTAGAGGTTAATAAATACAGTAACGCCGTGGTGGCTGGTGAATCAGCTAGCAGAGCTATAAAAATTAATGAATAACCAGATTAAGAGGCAGTGAGAAAAGTTCTTTGGCTAGCTGCATGTGGAGAATGTCGGTAAAAATACCCAGTGTAGATCAGGGGCGGTTAGTATGAACTGGTCGAGGCTTCTCAGTCATGAGTCCGAAGGACAGAGGCGGAAAGAGTAACCAATGTGCATGGCTTTAGTGAGAGTAAACTCCCCTTCTCTGTGCCATCTGTAGACGCACCAGAGTCCTGCTTAGAAGTCTGCTCTCCGAATGTGTAGGCTGTGTCTCCGCTCCTCAGGATGGGCTCCGTTGTTAAATCGCGGCCTTCGAGGGTGTGTTGTTGTTTCCCTTGTTCCACAGGAGGATGCAGATGTGGAATGGAAATTCGCCCGAGCAAAACTCTGGCTGTCTTACTTTGATGAAGGAAGAACTCTACCTGCTCCTTTTAATCTAGTGCCAAGTCCTAAATCATTTTATTATCTCATAATGAGAATCAAGATGTGCCTCATAAAACTCTGCAAATCTAAGGCCAAAAGCTGTGAAAATGACCTTGAAATGGGCATGCTGAATTCCAAATTCAAGGTAGGTAGCCTATGGTTTATGGGGCTGGAGAAGGCAGCAGGAGGGGGCGGGCAAGTGGAGTGTGTTTGAGTCATATGGCTGCCCTCCCCCACCCCATGCAAGGGGGGCCAGGGGCTGGGAGGGCCGGTACTCTGTAGAGTCTGCCTGGACACATCTGAAAGCTCCAATGCCAGCAGAGGCTACTGTGATACCCCCCTTTCTCCTTGCAACCCCTTGGAGAGGTGCCCTGCTGGGGACTTAGCAAGCTGCCTGGCTAGGCCGTGACCCCAGTGAAGGGAACCCCTTAGTGGACTTGGAAATGGAACAGCTTTTCTCAGAAAGTGTCTGGAAAACGATCTCTGAGAAAAAGGTTTCCTTCCCACTGTCTGGCTCTCCTGGGGATTCTCAGTGTTTATTAGTATGTTAAAACCCCTGGAGAAGAGACATCCATCTAACCTTAACTCAGTGCTTTCCAACCAAGTTGGCTAAACAATATTCTGTAACCCTTATTAACATCCTACAGAGCTAAAGGTCCTAGAAACAATGTTCTAGGAAGCCAAGCAGCACCGGGTAAATCAGCTTTCAGTAGTTGCCTCACTGAGACAGCCCCATATGTGGATACTGTTCAAGTCCTACAAGATATGTAGGGATGCATGTATGTTTTTGTGTGTGATATCTGTGGGTCTGTTTTATCCAGAAGACTCGCTACCAGGCTGGCATGAGGAATTCTGAAAACCTGACAGCAAATAACACTTTCAGCAAGCCCACCAGATACCAGGTAACCACCCCTTTCCCAAGCATCCAAGCATGGGCAGAAGTAGACTCCACTAAGACACAGATTCAGTCCCATGGCTGTGTCATCCCCGAGAACACAGCTTTATTCCTTCCTTTATTGCACAAATATTTATTGGGTGCTTACTATATGTCAGGCACTGTGCTACTTCCTGGGGATACAGATAGAGATGTGGTTCCTTCCTCAGTGGCACCTCCAGTCTAGTGACAATGGACAATGAACAAGTCAACACAGAGATAAGTGTATGTCCTCAAACTGATGACAGTGACAAAAAGAAAACAGGAGGACTCAAAAACAGAGAAAAATAGGGAGCTTCTGCTTAGATATGGTTTTCAGAGGGGACATCTTCAAGGAGAGAACAGTCAGCCAAGACCACTCGGATGCAGGAGGCAGCCATATGTGACCTTCCGGGCAGAGGAAGAGAAGGGTGGCAGGTCCAGAGCAGCCTGGCCCTGTGGAAGCAGAGAGTGGAAGGAGGTGAGGTCAGAGGACCAGACCTCTGTCAGGATGGGGGAGAGGGTAACTTTGCCCAGGAGGGGAGATAATGAAATTGTATTCGTGCTTTAAGAAACCACCTAACTGCTATAATGAGAGGAGACAGGTGGGGACAAGAGTAAAAGCAGGGATACCAGTGAGGAGGATGTGACAGTCATTCAGGTACAAGGCATGGTTGCTTGGATTGGGGTATGATCAGGGTGATGGAGAAAAGCAGACAGACGCAATACACTTTCTGGATGTATAGCTGCTGGGCACATATCGGGAGGGTGAGGCGCACCCAGCATGGCGCCCAGGTTTCTTTCTTAAGCAGTCAAGTAGATATAGGTGTCTTCAGACTTGGACTGCCAGCCTGCCAAGTCTGTTGTCAGAAAAATTAGAAAAAGAACTTTTATGCTTCCAATCCTTGCATTGCTTTTGGAAATGAATGCCAGATCTCTGTATCCGTTTGGATCAGCCCATGCACCAGTGATAAACGATAGCTACGGATGATCAATTATAAAAGTGCAGGCCACTCCTTTCCTGCCTTCCACTTCTCGATGATCAGCAGTTTCACCTATGCTGATCACTTCTTATCAGATGTAAATTTTAAGCTGTCCTGAGCATGCCTTTGGGTGGAGGTGATGTGCCCCTGGTGCCACCTTCCCACAGGGAGCAATTACAGACAGATCTTTTAGATATAGGTCTCTAATTGAATCTCTCCAACCATATTTCAGAAGCCAGCTGTGCAGTTAGGAGGATTTAATTGCACAATTAAGAAATGGCTCATCCCTCAAAGAGCTTATAGTTCTGTCAGATGACAGGCGAAAAATTAGTAATGGGCAAATCTTGTGTTTAATCACGCACAAAATTGGGACTGACTGGTTTGATCTGCTTTGAGCTATTTTACAAAACAAAGCCTTTGGTCAGTGGAAGGATTTTTATTTCTCAGTTTTTCAGAGAGAAGTGTAGATTATCTGTGTCACAGAAAAGATAGATACCCAATGGGTTAGGGCCAAATCTCTCCTAGGTTTTGAGCAGAATCAGCTCCTGAGATACAGGAAGATCAATTCTGTGTGAATGTCCCATCCCAGAATGAATCCTTTCTGAAGGAGACCATTTCCTTTTATTTATTTATTTACGTACTTATTTACTTTATTTATTTATTTTAGACAGAGTTTCACTCTTGTTGCCCAGGCTGGAGTGCAATGGCACAATCTCGGCTTGCCACAACCTCCACCTCCCAGGTTCAAGTGATTCTCTTGCCTCAGCCTCCCGAGTAGCTGGGATTACAGGCATGCACCATCATGCCTGGATAATTTTGTATTTTTAGTAGAGATAGGGATTCACTATGTTGGTCAGGCTGGTCTCGAGCTCCCGACTTCAGGTGATCCACCTGCTTCGGCCTCCCAAAGTGCTGGGATTACAGGCGTGAGCCACCGTGCCTGGTAGGAGACCATTTTCAAAAGCAGTCTCAGAGCAGTCCCCTCTCTGTCTTCCATCCTCGCTGGTTGAGTCCATACTGCCTTGAATCTCCCCAGGAACTTCCTGCTGTGATTACAGAGATTGGTCGTCTACAACTTCAGGCGACTGATGACCTCGAAAAGCTTTGCTCATTTTGTAATTTGTGACTCCACAGAAAAAGCCTGAGGCGACTTATTCAAATAGTTGTCACAGAAAAGAAGAAACAAAAAGCCAGCCAGTAGGCATGAGAGGAAAGGGACTGAGGGAGTGTAGTCTTTGCACATTGGCTCTTGGCTCCACCCTGCTAGGCTGCATGGCCTCGTCCTGAGTCATCATCTGCTCACAATAGGGGTAAACCCTGAGATGTCACTAAAAGACACCTGGATGCAGGCTGGACACTAGCTCAGGTGTAGTCGCCCATATTCCTTGGAGATGGGCCCTGTCTTCAACCTCATGTAACAGATGAGGGAATTGAGGCTCAGTGGCCAAGGCCACAGAAGTGACTGAACTGAGATCTCTCTGACTCAGAGGGCCCCCCTCTCTCACCACATCATGCTGTCTGGACACCGGCCTATTATTTATCTTCATAGTGTTGCACCAGCACCCTCCTCAGAACCTGTCTTGCCTGTGTTTGACAGTCACCAGGAAGAGACCTATCTGAGCCTTCCAAGCACACAGTGAAGAGGCAAAGAGCAGGAGAAGGCACTGGGGCACTTTTGCTATCACCAGCAGCAAGGACAATTTGAGTGGGGATCTGAGTACGGCTCCTCTCTTTCCTTGGGCCCACCAGTGGTCTTCCAAGTAGCATTGCTTTCCTCCCACAGCAGCTTCCAAATGTGCAGAGAACATTAGCAGCCCAATTCACCCCCTCTTTCTTACAATCCAGGCCCTAGGCAGAGCTGCTGTCACTGAGCACATATTCCATCAGCCTCTCACATGTTGTGGCTCTGAGAAATCACTTAGTGTTCCCAAGAAGATAAAAGCACCATCATTCACACACATTTAGTTACTAAGCTTGCTACTTTTTTGTCTCTTCATTCAATTTCTCGACTGTTAGCGTTTCAGGTGTTTATTCTGCTGTTTGTCAATGCTTCTGCTTTTGTGAGGTCTTTGTTGTAAGGGAAGACAGCTCCTTCAGACTTCAGAGGCTTTCTGTGTTGTTTCCTTAGACTCCAGGGTGTCTGGATTGTTATTTTTCACAAAACCATTTTTTGTAATGTGTTTTCCAGTCTGGGCTCTGCAGACCTGAGACCCAACAATGGAGCAAAACCATGATACTGGTGAGATGGCCAAAGTATGCCTCCTCCCCAAGCTCCCTGTGATCTGTTCCAAGATCCAGCTTGTCAGTTTGTTGGGGCAGGAAGTATACAGACCCACATACTCACTCTGAGAGGTATATTTCTTTATGGTGAAACTGAACAAGTGATATCCCAAATAATAGATAGAATCCAGGCACATCCATCTTTCACATACACGCCAATCTTTACGCTGCAATCTGCTCCCCAAAAGCCAGTGGGGAGTTCTCTTTTCCATCTTCTAAATGGCCTTTACCGAAGAGATCAAAGCAAAGAGGATGGACAACTTGCCAGTGCCTATTTCTTCTATTCTTGTGTCTGATAAACCTCAGTTTAATGAATGACTTGTCCTGTGATCCATTTTGTCCACTCTCTTCCAAATGTTCCTCAATTTCTGTTTTCCTAGGTGACCACATTGCTTCCCTCTGGATCCTACCTCATTGGCCATCATCAACATACAGTATGTGTTCTCTCCCTTGCTTCCTTATCTGTGTCCTCATCTTCCCTGGCTGTGCAGGGAGAGTTGTCTCTCTCATAGAAAGATGTCCTGTATTCCCCTTCACCACCAGCAGCCAGAGGCCATCTGGCCCCTTGTAGTCTGGGCTGGGTCTGGGCTGTGGGAACTGTGTGCCTTCCTCTCCAGACGTAGGGCTCTGCTTGACAACTGCTGTTATCCATTGTGCATCTCATCTTCATCCTCCTGAGTATTCTTTTCCTGAGTGATAGCACTAAATATACTTACCTCCAGTACTTTCTAATGCATGGGACAGGGCAGGGAGAGTAGACACTACCATGGACATAGTAACTTGGAGAAAGCTTATTATCTCCATGAAGTGAAAGAACTCTATGGAAGATAGCAAGGAGGTATCTCATACTCATCACAAAACACACACACACACACACACACACACACACACACACACACAGAGATACACACACATTTCCCCCACATAGTGAAAGAAGGGAGGCTTTCTACATCCATCTTTTCTATTAGGTTGGGGCAAATGTAATTGCAGTTTTTCCATTTTAATGAAATCAAATAGAAATAGATATCCTATCAAGGGAACCAGCCCCCAGTATTTCAACGTAGGTTCTTTCTATTTTCCATAAGCGTTGGCCGGCTGAGAAACAAAGAGAAAGAGTACAAAGAGAGGAATTTTACAGCTGGACCTCCAGGGGTGACATCACATATCGGTAGGACTGTGATGCCCACCTGCGCCGCAAAACCAGCAGGTTTTTATTGAGGATTTCAAAAGGGGAGGGGGTGCAAGAACAGGGAGTAGGTCACAAGATCATATGCTTCAAAGGGCAAAAAGGAGAATAAAGATCACGTGCTTCTGAGGCCAATAAAGATCACAAGGCAAAGGGCAAAGCAAAGATCACAAGGCAAAGGGCAAAATCAAAAACTCCTGATAAGGGTCTATGTTCAGCTTTGCATGTATTGTCTTGATAAACATCTTAAACAACAGAAAACAGGGTTCGAAAGCAGAGAACTGGTCTGACCTCAAATTTACCAGGGTGGAGTTTCTTCCCCACCCTAATAAGCCTGAGAATACTGCAGGAAACCAGGGTGTATTTCAGTCCTTATCTCAACCACATAAGACAGACACTTCCAGAGTGGCTGTTTGTAGACCTCCCCCCAGGAATGCATTACTTTCCCAGGGTCTTAATTATTAACATTCCTTGCTAGGAAAAGAATTCAGCAATATCTTCCCTACTTGCATGTCCGTTTATAGGCTCTCAGCAAGAAGAAAAATATGGCTCCATTGTGCCCAACCCCACAGGCAGTCAGACCTTATAGTTGTCTTCCCTTGTTCCCTGAAAATTGCTGTTATTCTGTTCTTTTTGAAGGTGCACTGATTTCATATTGTTCAAACACACATGTTTTACAATCAATTTGTATAGTTAACGCAGTCATCACAGTGGTCCTGAAGTGATGTACATCCTCAGCTTACAAAGATAACAGGATTAAGAGATTAAAATAAAGACAGGTGTAAGAAATTATGAAAGTATTATTAGGGAAGTGATAAACATCCATGAAATCTTCACAATTTATGTTCCTCTGCCGCAGCTCCAGCTGGTACCTCCTTTCAGGGTCCCTCACTTCCTGCAACAATATCCTCTGTGCCATCCATGTTAAATAGAACTTTTGGCCATTTCTCCAACCATTTCAGGCTTTCTGGTGGCAAAACTGGCTTTTGAAGGTATCAAGTTGTGCAGCATGCACATAACAGAAGGGAAGTTAGGTCTCTATGAGGACATGAAGTTTTTTTGGTTTATGAGACAGAGTCTCACTCTGTCACCCAGGCGGCAGTGCAATGGCACCATCTTGGCTCACTGCAACTTCTGCCTCCCAGGTTAAAGCAATTCTCCTGCCTCAGCCTCCCAAGTAGCTGGGACTACAGGTGTGCATCAACACGCCTGGCTAAATTTTGTATTTTTAGCAGAGATGGGGTTTCGCCATGTTACCCAGGCCGGTCTCCAACTCCTGGCCTCAAGTGATCCACCTGCCTCAGCATTCCAAAGTGCTAGGATTATAGGCATGAGCCACCATGCCAGGCAGGACATGAAGTCTTTAAGAACTGGCAGGCAGTCACACTGCTCTCCCTGAAGGTCCCTGTCACTCTGGGAAGTGCCCTGGAGGTGAGGAGGAAGGCTAAAGTTTCCCGGCACGTCTGCAGTGCTCATCTGGTTCTGCTTCCACAGGAAGCCTTTATAATCCTAATGCACACTGACAGCTTCAAAGTAAACCTTTGCTTTTCTACCCTCTGAGCCCTAGGTCAACAGAAACCCTGGCTCAGGTTGAGCATGCCAGTGCTCAAGAGTGGGTCATGAGCATTCCTGCCAGTGCCAGAGCAGAGACCCCCTTCTTCAAGGGATGACCACTGTATGATGTCACCCAGCCTCTGAAATCTAGTGAGGCTTCCCCCTGCATAAAAAGACTCAGTACCCAGACATGGCCCAAACCCTCTTTGACTAATAGGGGCCAGTTTCCCACATCTCTTTTCCTAAACCATCTTGAGCCTTTATTTTGATGCCCAGATGAAGCCCCAGCCATGGTTTCCATGCTGGTTAAATCTCAGATCTGCCACTTTCCAGCTGTGTGACCTTGGAGAAGTTACATCAGTGTCTGAGCCTCAGTGTCCTCATCTGTAAATGGAGATGACAACTCCCATCTCACTGAGTTTCTTGGAGGAGTCAGTAAGATGACTTTTGTGAGAGGCTGACACAATCCTGGTCTATGGAAGCACTCAATGCATTTGCTTCTTTGCATCTTCATCCTTTCACCCTTCCTCCTGAGGGGCTCCTCTGCATTGAGGGAGACTACAAGCAGGATCTCACCTATCCCAGCCAAATAGGGTTTGAGGGGCACATTTTCTATTACTAGTAAATATACGCCATGGAATGTTCTTAAATACAAAAGGTGCACACCAAACAGGAAGGGCTGCGATTCTGGCTGCACCTATGAAAGGATTTTCCTCAACGTCATTTGACTACCAATCTCTGGCTTATTATTTTACATGAGAAACAGTAAAGCTCTTTAATTGATGGATCCAGAAACTGAAGAACCCTCAATTCCTGAGGTTTGCCTTGAAAAGGCAACCAACTTTAACTAGGTCCCTTTAATTTTGTGTCAGCCTGAAAGCTTGCCGTGGAAGAACACTTCTGAATTTCTTATTCAGTAAGAATGACAGATACCTAGGTGTCTGTTTTGTTATGTTTTTTTTTTTTCATGAGAACTAGTTTGGGACAAAGTTTTTGTCTTGTTTTGTTTTTCCAACTCAAAGTGAAAGCAGCATTATTGAGTCTCATGGAAAGGGATGTGTGTGTGTGTGTGTGTGTGTGTGTGTGTGTATTTTTTTTTCTATATATATTTTATGTAATCTCAAAAAATATTTTTTGAGATATATATTTTATATATATCTGAAATAAATAAATAAATATATATATATATTTGAGATGGAGTCTCGCTCTGTTGTCCAGGCTGGAGTGCAGTGGCATGATCTCAGCTCACTGCAACCTCCTCTGCCTCCCAGGTTCAAGCAATTCTCCCTGCCTCAGCCTCATGAGTTGCTGGGATTACAGGTGCCCACCACCATGCCCAACTAACTTTTGTATTTTTAGTAGAGACAGGGTTTCACCATGTTGGCCAGGCTGGTCTTGAACTCCTGACCTCAGGTGATCTGCCCACCTTGGCCTCTCAAAGTGCTGGGATTACAGGCATGAGCCACCGCACCTAGCTTGAAAGGGGTATGTTTTTATAACTTAGATAACTTACTTTATTGACTAGACTATATCCATGAGAAATTCAGCACTGCAGTTTAACCACTAGTAGGATAAGACCCAGGCTTCTCTGAGAAGGATCAGCAGGAAGCAGCAACGGTCAATTCTTCAGCCTGAAATTAGATCACGACTCAAACCACAGAGCCAGTTGGCCCATGAGCCCAAGGGCTGAGGCGGGGCAGCGCTGGCCTGAATGAGCTAAACCCAGTGTTATCCTAGAGAGCCTTTTGGGTTCAGGTGAAGTCTTGGAATCACAGGCCAGGAAGCATCTCTGTGGCAAGCTCTTCACGGTTAAAGGGATGGAAAGAACCATAATTGATGATAACGAGTAAATCCTCCAGCTCTTTGCATCCAGTTCACTTACTTTTTATTTGCAAGATGCTTTTCCACAGCCTATGTAGCAGAGCTAGGAACAGAATCAGGTCCCTACAGGTCTCTTCAAACTGGAAAATGCTGCCTCTGTCCTCTTGGTCCCCAGGTGTGAGCGGGTGAGAAGGCCACAGGAAGGGAGGACCAAGGAGTAGGGAAATCCCTTCCTCTCTTCCACACTGCTCATCTCTTGGAAGATTCAGAAGTCTCGGCTACCCGAGTATTTTTAAATCCTGTGATTTCGCAGGAACCCTGGACCAACTAGCTGGCAAAATCCAAAGTTCACCTCCTGCAGTCTTTCCTACACTTGGCTCTATTCTTGGTGTGTCTTAAGTGTTTATTCATGCCTCGCCTGCTTAACGAATTCGGTATTTGCATAATGAACGGAACTTGAGGGCCAAATCCTTCTCCAGTGTGACTCCGGCAGCACAGTGTCAGGCCTGTGGGAAGTGGTATCTCTGTAAAACCCCAGAGGCCCAGCTGTGTCTGCTTCTGCTTCTGGTAGGAATTTTCCAAGGTACAGTGGACTTATCCTCCAAGCCTGGTCCTAACTTCTGTACCCAGCGGATCTCCTCTCATGAAGCGCACACTGCTCACTGTGACCTCCGAGGGAGGCAGCTCCACCCAGGCAGGCCTGCTAAGTCTTCCCCAGCCCTCCATCCTTGAAATAGAACTAAGGTCCAGGAAAGATGACATGACTGAGTAGGGCAGAGCCAGGCCAAGGCCCCTGGAGCAGAGACGTGGATCCAGGATTTCCGCCACTCCCCACTCCACCCTTTCTCTCTGTCTCTCCCTCTCTGCTTGGCTCAGTTTCCTGCCACTGAGAAGTATCCCAGGTTCAGGTGGACATTGTGTCCTGTAGGGGAGGCTAAACAGAGACTGACCAGGTACCCACACTGTGCAGGGTACCCCTCCAGAGTGAGGCGCCAGGCATGGGAGGGTCGCCGTGGTTGCTGAGGCTCTTCAAGGGAGGGAGGGGTCCTGCTACACCACGCAGGCTGCCTCTGCACTAGGCCCACCCTGTCTGATCCCTTCCTTGCTTGACATTTCAGAAAATCATGAAACGGCTCATAAAAAGATATGTCCTGAAAGCCCAGGTGGACAGAGAAAACGACGAAGTCAATGAAGGTAAGTGACTGGATTTCCACCCGCGTGGTGATTTAACACAACACGGGTTCTGCGGGTCTCACCGGCCTACGGCCACGGTGTTGTCAGGGCAGTGTGCTCCTTTCCGGAGGCTCCAGGGAGACTCAGTCTCCTTGGTCATTCAGGTGTCAGCAGAATGCATTTCCACGGGGCTGCAGGCCTGTCCCCATTTCCTTGCTGGCCTGAGCTCCAGCTGGGCTGCCCTGAGCTCCAGCACTTGGTCTGTGCATACAGCCCCACCACCTCAGAGCTAGCAGCAGGCATCAGGCACTCTCACGCTTCATTTGCCCTGCCTCATCTTCCGTTGTCCCATCTCTGACCCCACTCCTCTACCTTCCTCCTCCACCTATTTTTTTTCTTTGAGATGGTGTCTTGCTCTGTCGCCCAGGCTAGAATGCAATGGCACAATGTCTGCTCACTGCAACCTCCGCCTCCCGAGTTCAAGCGATTCTCCTGCCTCAGCCTCCTGATTAGCTGGGATCACAGGTGCATGCCTCCATGCCCAGCTAATTTTTGTATTTTTTTTTTTTTTTCCAGTAGAGATAGGATTTTACCATGTTGGTCAGGCTGGTCTCAAACTCTTGACCTCGTGATCCGCCCACCTCGGCCTCCCGAGTGTTGGGATTACAGGCGTGAGCTACTGAGCCCTGGCCCCTCCTCCACTTTTAAGGACTCATGTGATTGAATTGGTTCCACCAAGATAATCCAGAATAATATCCTTCTGTTAAGGGCAGCTGATCAGCAACCTGAATTCTATTTGCCACCTCAGTTCCCCTTTGAGGGGGAACATGACTACCCACAGGCAGAACACCAGGGATTAGGACAGGGACATCTTGGGAGTGGGAGACATTCCTCTGCCTTCCACAGCAGTGGTGGCCTTGAGCCAACCTTATGCCTCCTGAGTGCAGGATGGTTCAGAATTCCAGTGCTGTACTTCATTCCGTGGTGCACGTCCACTGAGCAGATGCACACTGCCTTTAGGGTCTGCCGCTACTTGCTTCTATCTGGCCCTGTCCAGTCTCCGTTCGAGGTTCTCAGCATCTAACTGCCAGCCATGTTTCTCAAAGTGTTCCCCACCTCAGAACTAGCTGTTAAAACTACAGACCCCAGACCCCACACAGACCTAATGAATCAGTATCTCTGGAGTGGGGCCTGGGATCTGCTTTTGGAAAACTGCACCAGGGGTCTCTGAGGCACAATGAGGCTTACCGGCCATCTTATTTTCACTGTTTGGGTTATTTTCCAGTCAATTTTCAGCAGTTACTCTTAGATGAAAAGCAAATTACTTTATACCAGGTAATTAATGAGATACCTATGATAAGTATTTGCTAACTAGAAACAGCCTCATCCATGAGTGAAGTTTCTGTTCTCCTCGCTTGGGCCACAGGGAACTACAGAAAGAGCCTGGTCATTGGGTGACCCTCTGCTTCATCCTGGGGCACCCAGCATGCAGCTCGAAGTCAGCCATGACTGAACTGCCCCTGAGCTGACATGGTTTAGGGGTTGACAACAGCCCACCTACCTACTCGTAGGTCTCAAACAAACAATGGCCAAGTGTCATGCCAGCCAGCCTCAAGCAGTATGTGACTGATTCATGTGAACATCACTGATCATAAAAGGTGGGGGTGCTCAGGTGTCATGCCATCTAACTTACACCATGAAACGGGGGCTCAGTGAGGCACCTGATAAAAATAGGGGGTGTATCCATTTGTCAAAATGGTTCAAACTGTACCTTTAAGATCTCTACCTTTTATGTGTATGGACTATACCTGAAAAATAGATGAGCAATGTTTCCACAGACAGTGGACTCCCACACAAGCCAAGTGCAGTATCTCCAGTATTAGGAAAGATCCTTCTGACACCTGTTTGTGGTTAATAGAAGATTCCCACAGCCTAGACCCATTGGACTTCTAACCACAAGGTTCGCTGTGGAAATAAAAGTGAAGGTCCCTGCTAGGTGGTCCCTCATTATGGAAGGAGGAGGCGGCGGGCATTGTCGCAGCTCCTGTCAGTGAGGTGGTGCTGCTGCTGGTGTGGGCTGAGTGGACCCTGCTCAGGTGGCCAGCTCACTCCCAGGAGGCTGGTCAGCTCCATGGCCACCATGGCTGCATCTGCTGTGCCAAGCCATTCTCTCCAGGGTCCTGGGAGTTTCTCTTCTCTACAAATAACTACGGCAGAACAAAACATAGCATCTTCAAAATCAATGCTCCAGTTAATGGAGTTGTTGTCCAGAGTCTTGAAATCTGCCTTTAAAGACTCCGAAACAAACTTTTTAACAAGTATTTTATGAAACAGGTGTTAGACACAATTCACAGCCCTGACCTTGACTCCTCCTTCAAATCCCTAAGGGAAAGGTTTTCCTGGAACGGGAGGAGAAGGGCTTTCTATGGATCGATGAGTCCTTCAGCGGTGGAGGAGTTGGGTGGTTCTGGGTTCAAATAGAGCCCCCTTTGCCTCACCTTCAACCCTGGTGGGCTGGCCCGGGACCCGACATTCCGCTGGAAGGATGCACATGCCCACATCCGCATGGGACAAGCCCCAAGCTTCCACCTGCTCAGACTCAGCAAAATCTCCTCTGTCCTTGCAGGCGAGCTGAAGGAAATCAAGCAAGACATCTCCAGCCTGCGCTACGAGCTTCTTGAGGAAAAGTCTCAAGCTACCGGTGAGCTGGCAGACCTGATTCAACAACTCAGCGAGAAGTTTGGAAAGAACTTAAACAAAGACCACCTGAGGGTGAACAAGGGCAAAGACATTTAGCAGCCCACATCGGCATCTGTGACTTCTACCAGCATTCCAAGGCCAGGGTGGATGCCCTGGCCCCCATCCCTGGTGGGGAGGGGGCCCCAGCCCACTCCTCTAGGACATGAAGGGGATCTCCTGGCTCAGTCTCTTGCAGCATGACTGACATCTCCAGCCCGCTGGCCTGCCTAGACCCAGAACTGCTGTGAATCTAGGCGGTTGGGTAAGAAAAGCTATCACGGGAGGAGGGGAGGAACAGTTCCCTGACGAGTGTGAGACCTTTGGTCCAGCCACAGTGAAACCCATCCCTGTGGCCAAAGCAGGAAAAGGCCATCTTGGGTGCACACCTGTGCCCTCCCACTGCAGGTGGGACTGCAGCTCTGGCTGTGTCCTGGGAAGACAAACACCTCAACCCACAAACTCCTTCTCACTCCCTCCCCGCCACTCCCCAACACATCCAAACAGAACCGGGAGGTGACCTGTGATCTATTCTTAAGTGCCAGATGAGAACACAGCCTAATAGCAAAATAGTTCTATTTGTTTATTAAAAAAAAAAAAAAAGAGAGAGTTTAAAAATCCTAAATCGAAAACTGTACTGTAGGTAGCACTGTTTAGAAAACAACAACAAAATCCAAATGATGTATTTTTACCTTTATTAAGATTATCTTGTATTTACTATTTTTACCTAAAATGGAAAGAAATAAAATTACCTCATAATAACTTCTGTGTATACGCTGCCGGGGCCGCCCCACTCGCAGGCCCAGTCTGGAAGTGGCCTTGGGAACCTGTGGCCCAGGGACGCTCTGAGAAGAGAATGGGCTGGTGCGATGGGGGTTGAGTGGGGACGAAGGCACCACCCTCCCGAGAGTCATGCAGCCAGGACCCCCAAGAGCTCCAGCCTCCACCTCCAAGCGCCTCCTCCTGTGCCCAGACCTAAGGTCAGGAAGGGGGTAAAGGAAATGCAGAATAAGTGGAAAGTTTCCTCCCACCCCATTCTAGAACTTTCCTCCATGTGAAAGGAAGGGGAGGGGGCAGGAATGAGGCCTCAAAGTGTCCCCCCACCAAGGAAGAGGCTAAGTGTGAGTAGCGACAGCAGCCACCAGAGGGCGCTAAGTCTCAACCAATGCCTGTTCCGAGCAGGTGTGGGAAGATGCCATTCATCTTCCGGAAGATGAATGGCATTCATCTTCCAGAAGCTTCCAGAAGAGCCCTCTGGTTCCAAGGAAACACTCCTAGGGCTGGCCAGAAGTATTCAGCGCTTGCTGTGTACTGGGCACTGTGCTCAGGGCTTTGCACGCATCAGTCCACCAGATCCTCACAGCAACCCTGTGAGGTGGGTGATGGTTACAAATTCACATACCTTGCAGACATCCTAGAGGGGGGGGAATAAATATATAATAATTATATATATATTCATGTGTGTATGTGTAAATGTATATATGTATGCACATGTAGAAAGAAGGAGCTTGTGTTCCAAGATATACAATACGTCTTTATCTTCAGGGGCAAATTTTTTTTTACTTTACTATAAGAAAACAGACGATCAGATGAGGCAATAAACAGAAGTGAGGTTGGTGCCAGCACTGATGGGAGTGACGAGGGACAATAACAGACTGCATAGCCGTGCCCTGCCTAAAGCAGGCTGCAGACACTCAGCTCAGCCCATCTTTGCCATAAAGAATATAAGTCCTGTTTTGTCACATCTTCCCAACTACTGAAAAAAAGAAAAAGTCAGCATTTGTTGGGCTCCTGGCAGCCAAGTTAGGCAGCAGAAGATGAGACATGGCTCCATACCTGGGCCTTCCCAACCCAATCTGCACCACCACCTAGTATTCAAGCAAGACAGAAACAGGCGTTTAACGGGTGCTGGGCAGAGTGCAAATGCAGGGGCGCTTGACAGACATAAACTCTGGCCCAGGAGGAGGACCCATAGAGGACCATGGATGGATTTCAAAGAGCCTGCAAGTCCTAAGGTGCCCTTCAGACTGTGTGCCTGTCTTTGCGATGGTGCCTTGTTCTGGAGAGAACACCTGTAGCTTTTCACAAGCACTCATCTATGCGCCCCCGGCAAGCCACAGATGAGGAATGACTTTACTCAGCAGCTACATACTAAGCCCCTTGCCAAGTGCTGGGGACAGAGCCATATGTGTCCAGTGTGGCTCCCTTTTTAAACCCAGACTCTGAAAAGGGAGGCTTAAGTGCTTTGTAGGAAGAGCAATTGATTCATCCAGGGGACAAATTGCTAATGCTTCTGGAAGACTGCCTTTCAGATCCCTCATTTATCTTTATCAGAATGCTAATAAACACTTCTGAGATGCATTCTTCAATTTCTCTATCTGCCTTCAGCCAAAGGCAGTGGGCAACCCCATTTTCAAACCATGGGGCACCCTTTTCCTATCAAATCTAAGTCTCAGATCTACTCCTTATAGAGATAAAGGAAAACCAGTCTCACTGAGTAATTAAAAACTGGGAAAGAAAACTGGTACCATCCATTAGGGTTTTAATGCCATGTCTAGGAGGTAAAGGTAGTCCAGGAATGAATTTGTGGCTGCCAGATGCCTATGGGGAAGGGCAGAAGAGGGCCCTTTTTTGGTGCAGAGCTGTTGGAGAGGCCTGGAACTGATGGCTGGCAGAGATCAGCAGCCTGGAGCAGGGAAAAGAGCTCAGTCATCTTCCAGGCACTACCAGTCTCCCTCACTTGCCCCATCTCTTGTGCCCATGCTGAATTAGCCAGGTAGGGGAAGCAGTGCTTGAAGAAGCCAAACAGGAGGGTGAGGAATGGAACCTGAGAGAGGCCCAGAGGCAGATGGGGAGAAAAAAGGGCCCAGGTCCTCCCTGGAAAGTTCACTATCACTCCCCAAGATGTGCACGCTGCCAGAGGCACCCATCTGTCCCCTGCAGCTCTGCACACTTGCCATCATTCTGTCTACAACTTTAATGTATACGTTCAGTGTCTGTCTCCACTGCTCCAGGGAAGCTCCATGAGGTGGTCAGGTCTGTTCCATTCCCCACTGAGTACCAGCACAAGGACAAAGAGTAGCCACTCTTGCTGAATTACTTGTGAATTACTGCAGCGCCCTTCTGGTCTCCAGTTTTCTGAAGTTCCTTCAGACAGCATCATTGGGCCCTGAGAAACTCGGTGAGTTTGCAGAACCATAAGCCATCCTCGGCTGTAGCTCAAGCCATTTCCTTTCTAGTTACAGCTTGGAAGGAGGCCCAGCTCCTTGTCCTAACATGGCACACTCTGATGCAGGAGTGGCAGCCCCTGTCCAGGCTTCCCGGGTAACCAGTGGTTAAGCAGTGAGTTCTCCAGTGACTTGTCACCTTCCTATGGCTACTAATAGGACTCGACAAATCATAGTGACACTTCCCATGCAGAAGTCCCCAATTAGTCCTCTAAGCTGCTCCTAAAAGACCATGCTCACACACTTGAGAAAGCGCAGTGGCCGCCTCTGCCCATCAAAGCCTATCTCCTTCCCTCCCAGCAAGGCCCAAAGACAGAACATTGGCCCACACAAGCCAGGCAGGGGGAGATTCCCCAAGGCAGGAAAGCTCTGACCAAACACCTTCATGGGGAGGCTGAGACACCCTACCCCGCTCAGGAGCATGCAGCATCTGGTTACAAATAAGCAGCCTTGAGCCTATCACTTCTCCAAGTGCCCATGACTGCGTCTGTAAAGTGCAGAGTCTGAGAGCCCCAGAGGCCGGCAGGCCGGAGGAGCTTCATTTGTGGAGGGAGGCAGGCAGGCATGCCTCCATGCTATGCTTATCCCAGCTCTTCCCTGCATCCCATGAAGGGTGGGAATACTAGAGGGAAGGAGCTGCAGGAAAGACACATAGATGTCAATCAACTTAATGATGATTTACACAGGAGTGAAGCCACTTCTGGCCGTGGTCTCCCAGGCACAGCCAGCAGGAGCTTGGCTAATGCTACCTCATCCTGGTCCTGGGAGTGGGGCCCATGTGGGCTGGATGGCATTGCGGAATGGCAGGTCCAGACACTCACTGGATTTCACCATTGTTTCCCCATTGTTTCCCCAGTGCCGTCAAGCAGCTAGGACAACCCATGCCTTTTGCTTCAGGGAAGGAATGACACAGAAAGCGGGAAAAAATAAAGGTGTGCTCATTTCCCAGACCTGAGGTTTTTAAAAAGGGAGAGGTCAGATGAGGGGAGAATCAAAATTTGAAAGAAAGGATAGCTGAGAAGCATGGGTTCTCCCCTACACAGATTGGAGCAGGAGAGGAACGAGGCAAGGTGGTGAGAGCAGAGAGGTCAAGGTGCTGGACAGAGAGGGTCAGACCCCAGAGGAAGGGGAGTGCTCCCATGCTGATAGAAACTGGGGCCTGGCTGGGTCTGCCTTCTGCACTGCCTGGCCTCCCCTAGAAGGAGCAGGGACCAGCCTGTTGCCTCCTGTCAGCCTCTCCCTGCACTAGGAGGGAGAAAGAGGAAGGAAGAGGCTCTCCAGGGCTGAGGCAGGGGCAAAGTGTCCTCTCCTTACAATAAGTTTTAAAAGTCCTGATTTCATGTCCTCAGAGTATCTGAGTCAGAAATAACTGGGCAAAACACAGCCCACTGTGCCTTGACATGGATGTGGCATAGCTGTGCCACTGACCAAAGAGGCCCGAGTGTCCCGTGGAGGCTGCCATGCGGAGGCTGCTGCCAGGCACTGACCCCACACCCCACCCAGCAGACAGGCAACATGCTGGGGAAAGAGAAGACAAAAGAAGACAATTAAATATGCCAAAGGAAAATTTAACAAGACACTTTTAGGTGTCTGAGGGCAGGTCCAGACACTGGTAGGATAGACAACATTTTTAACTTTGCCACTTCCACCCCCACCACCCCAGTGATGGTGAATATCCAGGGATAAGGCAGAGAGATGGCCAGCACAGAAGCCAGAGAGGAGGGGCTGGCTATGGAGCATGTAGGCTTGGTGCTGGCTGTGACCCCCTCTTTGGCTGGTAACAGATCTCACTGTACCCCAGACACCATCTAGCACCTAACCCCAGGACAGCCAACCAGAGCGCCCACCTCCTCCAAAATCAACAGCAGACCCAAACAGAGCTGATCTTAGTCCTTCCTTGGTTTTATACATAAGTAGCCATGGGAAAGAAAAGTCCTCCTTCAGCAGGGTTGATGAACAGGAGAATGTGAATTTGGGACACCAGTGGACACCCCTCTACCACATGGAGAGGGACCGTCTGCAAATGAAGTCAAAGAGATGAGAAACAGAGACAGGGGAGAAGAGGAGACGGGGGAGGGGGACAGAAGAGAAAAGGAGGGAAAGAGGGAAGCAGAAGGGGTGCTGTTGACCTTAGGTGGGGCCCACCCCGAGGCCCTGCTTCCTGCAGCTGTTCCTTAGGGCTACTGACCTGTTCCAGAAGTGACCTGTTCTTAGCTTCCCCACCAAATGGATCCCATTTTTGTCTAAGCAAATTTGCTTTGGGTTTCTGTCATTTACATCCGCGGGGTCTTGATGAACACAGAAATGATGTGACGACTTCTCCACCCTTCCCAGCCCTGGGGCTGGTTTTGAGCTTCTACGGTTGAAGGAGCAAGGGCCAGAAACTGCCAGGACTGTTTTTCTTGAGATGTGGTGTGGTTCTGTTTAATGAGT